GATAATTTTGACCTCATCTCATGTCACGAAAGCAGCTGGCGGTTTTACTTGTTGCATTCTTGCCTCGTCAGCAGGATCCTCGCGCTTGCTTATCTCGTGCTTGGCCTTAGTGACGCCACTGCTTGCCCTCTGCAACTTACTGATTGTAACGACACATTTTCGGTCACTATCCATCTTTCTGTATCTTTATCCTCGCAAGGTATAGCAAGGAGAAGGTCAAAGCTCAATTGCCTCGTATATTACAAGGCCGGAGCCCTTCACAGGCAGCAGACCTGCGCCGCCTGCACCTGGATGTTGGGCTCCTCGGCCTGGATATCAGGCTGCTGATGCGGCACGTCCTGTACGGCACAGGAGCAAGGTGATCTGACCCCAGCGGCGCAACAAACTGGTTTAAATTGGGTTATGGCTGTCCCGGAAACTGCAAGCGTGCGATGCTTAAGTTTAAAAGCTGATGCCGTTCAAATACGTGCACGAAATGAAAATAAAAAGAAGTCGTCCGCAGCGTCCTTGGATCGACTGACGGTGGTCCCCTTGTCCTGCCCCTTTTTCCGTCTCCTGCGGCAAAGCTCCACACATGTTCGACGAGCAAGCGCAGAGTCGGAGAACCCGCTTGCAAATGACATTAAGGCAACGGTTCTCGGACTTCCTTGCCAGTACAACCGCCCTAGAAACCACCAGCATTTCCAAAGCTTGAGGTATGCAGCGCAGCAAAATGACATTACTGCTTGCAGTGCGTTCACTAGTGGTGTTGTAGATACGAGTACTACAGATGCTGACGCTGATGCTGATGTGCATGTATTGGTGCCAGCAACGCGACTTTCTGGAGAAACTCCAAGATGCCTTGGCACGTTGTGCATGGTTGGTGCGCTCCACACAGCACGTATTTCAGCCCGTCTGTGTGCTCGGGTCGCTGTGTTGGACTGCAGCCTCTGGTCTACGGCTCAATATCTTGTTGCTAAATGTGTTTGTCGTCGGGTGCATGCCCTGTGACCGTCGGGAAGTGTCAATCGGTGTCCAGTGCGACGCACTGAGGTACTGATAGGGCTTCGGCTCAGTCCGGACATGTTCGGGATCCCAGTCGGCGGTGTTGTGCTCATTGCCTCCGTCGAGTGGCGGTCATTGGTGCTGAGGCGTGGCCATATTACACCACAAATCAGCAGGTTCCCTGGATTCAGCATGACTTCTAGCCCAGTTGACATGCCGCAAGTGTTATTGCTTGCGGACACTTCTCGGTGTCAAGGCCGCATCACAATCCGCATCACCAAGAGAAACAAACGATGACCATGACCATCACCCATGAGACGGACGCAGGAAGACTTTGTAAATGATGTACGGAGATGCCGGCAGTCATTGCATTGTCGCTGATCGGCTGACACAATGATGTAGACATTCCAAGCCCACCCGGGACACTGGTTGGCCATGCCCGCGACACCGCCGGCCAACAAAAACAAGCAGCACTGATCAGAACATACCCAACATTGAAATATCGATGCATCCATGTCCTGAATGCCGACCGATACACCAAGCTCTTGGCACCTAACCGATCCGATGGGATCTGGGCTACAATGACGAGCGAAGAGAAGAGTGGACCACAGAATGGGCACTGTTAGTACGATTGCATACATGCACTGCCCCCACTATGGTGATGAGAGGCACTGGCTGTGCCTGGGATACCAAACAACGCGTAAGAGGATCTCACCCTGCCTCAAGTCTTGACCGGCTCCGAATGCGAGTGCCCAGAACGTTCATTAATAGCAACAAAAGCACCGAAAGCAGCAGGCGTCCCCTTGCCCCTCCCAGCTTGTCCTGGGCCGGATCGGCTGCGATGTCTCGTCGGCCGCGGTTGCCGAGTACAACTCACAGTGAGGTCGCAGCACTTGACAAAGCATAATTTTTGACCACGCAGTACGCCTCCTATCTGACTTCTACCGTTTACAGGCTCATTACGACGGCCTGCAGCCTCGGTTTTTACTAGACATGGAGAAGCAACAGTACGATTGCCTGCAGTCGAACAGAAGCCACAGCCGCAGTCGCGGCAAGCGTGGTGACGGCTGCCAAAGCCCACACCGCATTGCCTTCAGGCTCTTTTTTCTTCAATGTCCCACCTAACCTTTTCCTCTCGACTAACAGACTCAATGGACAATCCACGGAGCCGCAACTTGATACTGCAAGAGGTATTGCTCCTCATGTGGACCATGAACCAAGGCATTACACTTTGAGCTAGACCTGCCTTCTACCTTGACATGTTCAGCTCCCATGAGGACGAAGACCCGTGACCCTAGCCTGCCCCGCGCTTCTTCTTCGTTCCCTTTGCCGGCATGGCGGCAAGAGGACCATGATGCAGCGGGCGAGAGGACTTCGGGAGCTTCTGTTTGAGTTTGTTGCAAACTGAGCAATGCCAAAAAGCCGGTGAAGGTCCTCATCGTTTGTCCGTCCGTCGTGCAGCCCTGCGCTGCCGGTTGCATGCTGGGCGTTAGGCCAACCTGCCGATAAGTTGAGATCTTGATGCTGACAGCAAAATTCTTGACGGGAGCTTCCGATTGCAACTGCTTGCACTGCAAGCGCAGAGTTAAGGAAGTGTGCAGAAATGTGCAGAATGTAGACTCTGTGCCGAGCCCGTGTTGCTCTCATGATCGCTGAGGTTTCTACGCGTGCCTTTCACTGAGAGCCAGAAGGAGAGTCAAAAGCACACGGAATGTGACAGCAATTGCTGTGGCATTGCACACCCTAGCTCTACAGTCACTGTAGTCACTGTTGATGTCTTTACAGACGGGCCAATGCAGGAGCCATAAGTGTCGGAAAACCAGAAATGCCAAATTCCAGCTAGCCTGACATCTCTACAGTTCCCTGCCTCCTTGTTTCGAGCACTCCTCGTGCGAAAGATGACATGATCGCATATCCTCTGTTGCTCAAAGCTGCCCTGCCCATGGTGGAGCACACTGGTGCCGCCTCAACTGGAACTCTTTAGCATTCATTCAGATGGTCAAAATGGGCTGCATGAAGACTTCTTGCCGATCTCCTCTTCATCCGAAGCCTTAAACTCAGATCACACTTGAGTCCTTGGAGTTGCAGCACCGAGCAGATCACGCCCAAAAAGGTCGCGAGGGCGCCCAGCGCCCAACCTGGAGCACTGGCGTCTGGAAGAACACCCGGGAATACGTCTTCAGCTGTGTGGCTTGGGGCTCTTGAGTGATACCCAAATTAAGGACCTTTACGTAAGTGTGAGAAAGACAAGTTCTTGTTCAGATCAGTTGTCAATTCAACATCTTTAATCACACGCAGTGCGGCAGGACAGCACGCAGCATCATCAATTTCTTTGCCAGCCAGGATTTCCAGATGCATGCTCGTCGTTGCTTCAGGCAAGACCACGGAGCTGGAAACCACAAATTGTGCATGGTGCACCTTGATACGATGCAAAGCCGCTACAGCGATCCAGCTTAGCCATGGTAACCATTGTCATCTTCATGTCGGTGGACGAAGCCGCACAGATCCACATTTGCACCTCGTCTGGGACGATGCAAATGACGTCTTCACAAACACGAGCAGTGGACTTTTCGAGAGAAGATGCACACCTCGAGACCTGACTCCGTGTCGCTGCCGGCCGCCGGCCAGATTCTGCAAAAAGGAGCTTGCCCTTCACCCGACACAACCACACCGTCCATCAACGAACCGGAGGGCAATGGAGTCAGCCTTTATGTCTGTGGCTTCAGGTATGGGCAAACAAACTGACATCAAGTCGTTCTCCCCAAATTGCCAAGAAATCTCTTGAGCCCGCGTTCCACGACCCACTCGCAATTCCAAAGGCGCTGCTGGATCACCGCTTCCCAAAGAGAATGGGGACGTGTTCACCGCGGGGGCAAGCTTAGTTGCCATTGCCAGGGCTAAGGGCCGAGGGTCCTTGGGTTGATGCCCCTGCCAGATGTTGACCAAGAGTGTCGTGCGTGATGGCTTCCTTCGCCTGGATTTACCTAGGCATTGCACCTCGGCGGAGGCACAGGTGCCAAAGATCTCCCGCAGCTGTGCAGGTGCGGCATGCAGTAGCCGCCCATCAAAGCAGATATGCTTCCCAGGCACTGGCAAACTCAGGTGTGCCCTGGCCACCACTGCGCCTTTCCCTGCCAAAAGCTCAGTCTCGAAGCAGTCTTCGAGGACAGCTGTGGGTGCAACGCTGCCACCAGCTTCGAGGTATGTCACCGTGCCAAGGAGAGGGTGCTGCACGTCTCCCCGTTCCCGAGCCTCGTAGTCGGCGTCCCAGTGCCAGCCCACGTCGTCATCCTTGGCGCTTCCATCATTCTCTAGTTTGCGGCCCGCTGTAGCTAGAATTTACAGAACTCTGAAGAAACTCAGCTGGGCATCCTCCCCATCCAGCCACAGAGTCCACCATTCACTTCCCAGGACATCTAGACCGAGCCTTCCTTGGTGCCACGAGGTGATCTCGGCAACCAGCCTTAGGGACCAAGTCGACACGTGAACCCCAACGGGACTCTCAAGCAGGCTCCTTTTCCCGACTCACCATGACTCCCTGCTTTTCCGTTGGTATAAACCTGCAACAACCGCAATCCTGAAACCTCCCAGCTCTCAGACAAAGAGTTTGCTGAAGGCACGAGGAACTGCTCCAGACCGCAGCGAGGCTCGGTGCCTGCTGACAGCCAAAACGTCTGGCCTGCACTCTCGGAGTCCTCCTCCGGTTGGGGGTCTTGATGAAGGTGAGGGCTTCGGACGATGCCGAAAGGGGTTCTGAACCCAACATCTGAAGATTGGAATACGGTTTGGGGGTTCCGACCCTCAGTTCTCCTTTGATCTTGCGTACGCGAGCGTCCACGGAAACGTCTCACGTTTCAACTGCAAGAGCTCGCACTCCAGCTTGGGCAGCTGCTGCATGCTTTAATTTCTCTGTCAAGGGCTTCGTCTTCATGTAGCACTACTTCTGCCGGGAACATAGGATCTGAAGCCGCTACCAAATGAGAATAAGTTTTAGCGAGTGAGACACACAGATGATCATAGATGCTTCTCGTCTTATAGCGGTCCTTGGCAACGCTGCGGGCGCTGAAGACACGGCGGCAGTCATCTACCAGATCATACCCTCGGAACAGGGGCGTGACGGTATGGATTGGGCGGTTAGTAAGGCGGCTCTTCAGCCTCTTTACCGCATCTTCCTGTCATGCCACCGATGCGTGCCATTGAACTATTTGTTTCCTCCCTTCATGTGCTCTTCGGCAAGGGGCATGTGGTCTGCTGTCACGACTCAGAGTAGGGTCAATGCCCGCCTCATGTGTGTGTGTGTGTGTGAATCTGCAGCCGAATATGCGGCAAGGATCTCTCGCGTCTGCAGCAATACAGGACCCACGCGTGGGGTGCTTGGCGAGTCTGAAGTCAATACTCGAGTTTAATTTTGTTGGTTTCTGATGTCAGCCAGCTACACCCCGCAGAACATGAGGCTGTCTGGCATAAACTAATCCTACTGCACATGTTCAGGCTGCTTAAATGATCTTTATTGACAAAGCAGTATTGATACTGTACTGGTTGTACATATTTGGTGTGACATGATCTTCCTGAGGCCCTGGCTAGAACGTTCAGACGGAAAGCGCAAGCGCTCAGGGAAGCTTTCGAAGATGGGAGTGCAGGTCATTGCAGCATGACGGCATGCAAGCTGGGCAAATGTAAGAAACACACGTGCTGAAGTTGGACATATAGGTTTTTGGGAGCTTCAAAAGGACGGCATGATGTTGTATGATCTAACGATCTGCACCGAGACAAATTCCTGAGAACTCTGGTCGTAACACTGTGAGCTGCCTCTTTTTTGCAGCCCTTTGAGATGCACCCAGATGCAATACGCATGATCTTCTCGCAAAACCTTGACACATGAAATAGCCATCGGGCTTAAGTAAAGCTCCGCAACATTAACTGGCGATGTCCAACCTAAGAGCCAAGCAAATCCAAGACAGTAATGATGTGAGCTGCAATTGCATGCCTGAGTCGAAACTTCACCATCCTAGGATTCTTGACTGCGAACCTGCATATGCATAGTCAAAACCTCATGCAGTCCCCCCTGCTGGGCTGGTCCCACTGCTGCACAGACAGAAGCTGCAGGAAGTAATTCATGCATGCGACAGATTCGGGCTGGTTGAAGAGCAAGGCTAAGCCCCAAGGTGAACAGACACGGTCTGGTTCAGGAGGCAAAAGCCATTTGCAGTTTCAAGTTTCGATTGGCTTCCGAATTCCTTGGGAGTGGAACTTCAAACTGGCAACGAACGCGGCCTCAGGCGTTGAGGCCGTCCACGCACATCCTGGCCATGCGAAGTCGTGTTCTCCTGCCACCAGCTGGAGGCCGGAAGGTGCGGTACTGCAGAATGAGAACAACCGGGCTTCCAAACGTGTGGTTGAATTTCTCTACGTCTGGAGCAGAGGGAGACAAATGAATTCGATAGCAACGAGCTGCACGATCCTTGCTCGTGGGGCAAAAGACTTTTGTTTCGTGGGCTGAACCCTGTCTGAGAGTTTGTTCATTCGTCAAGTTGTGAGGATCGCTCTGCACGGGCTTTTCGGCACGACCAGCGCAGGGTCTCATCCCATGTGTCCATTTCGACCTCCGAGAACAGTCCATGGGTTGCAAGCAATCTGGGCAACATGCTTCGACGGCACTACTTCGAGCTCCAAGCGTGGGTGTTTGACCCTGCGGGCCTTCAGCGACACGCGCGGAAATAGTCCTTGCAAAGAGCAAATCTGTTGGCACCAGAGCACAGCGGTGTGTCGTGAAAGGTCGTCGCACATGGCTCAGCAACATACAGTAGCATCATCACAGTGAGCTGCCACAAAACTTCCAGCACGCTCAAGAACCAGTGGTCGAATCGAAGCAAGTGGCGGTGGAACTGGCAGCAAACTGCCAGGCAAGAAATGCAGAGTGTGTGAGTCGCATAGAGCCGCACGGAGCCGAAGGTAAATTCTCTGTCGGCTGCCCTCTCCTTACACATGTGCAAAGCGGCTGAGCTGTGCTTACAATCCTGGCCATGCCCATGCAGGAACTGACAAGGCCAACTGCTCAGTCGAGTCTCCTGAAGATCTGGTCTAGAACGCTGATTCTGGCTTGCAGCGCTTGCGGCCACGGACAGCAAAGCCATGCGCTCGGCATGCTGTGACCTCATGTCTGGAGTTGACTCAACAGTTCTGCAGACTGGCAGCTTTCGCAGTCATGTTCTTCATCGTTGACATCAAACTTATGCCTGCCAACCCCGGGTTTCGGTCAGGTTCGACCTGTTGTGCTGACAACCCGAACAGAACATGGAACACTCTGAAGAGCGAGACATTTGTCGCTGAGCACTCTCACAAGAAGCTCAAGACAAAGCACATCCACAACACGCAAACCTAGAACCTAGGTGTAATGTGCTTGCCGTAAGAAAGAGAGCATGGAAAGATCGCACGCTTCGACCTCCGTCTTCGGCGCCGAGTTTCTCAGTTCGGTGTCTCGTACCCTCAATGCTGGTACTTCTTGATTCTTGGCATCGTCAGGAGTTTCCGGCAGCCTCGCCGCAGAACACCATCCAAAGCCGAAAACGGTTCGATCAAGGTTTGACGATTACGCTTCCACGGCACTTTGTTCTGTACGAAGGCTTTCCCGCTGCTGTGTTGCGAGTTTGTGTTTTCCTTGGATGGTGCGTCAATGCCTGGGAACTGGCGACTCCGTCTGTCAATTCTTGCTCTTCCTGTGCAGCTTCTCGGCTTATTATGCTTTGATCAGTGATACTTGACTGCACGATCTCGCGGTCCTTTATCCTCACGGCCCGGGAGAACTGTGGAAATCCTGGCCCTGATGCTACCGGCTTGCTTTGCTCTGCTTTTCTGACCCTGCTTGAAGCTTTGGCCGTTTTCAAGCAAGCAGGGGCAGTTTTTGTAGCAGTTTGTTTACTGGTCTCCTGCAATCAGGCAGGCAAACACGAACACGTACGCACAGATATCTATGCCATAGCTCTCGAGGCAGATGTCTTTCTTTTTTGTCTACGGAGTCTACGTAGTCGTCTCGTCAGGTGTGCAGGTACTTTGTGCAATCGTTGTGCAGGTGTCAACAACATGCCCCAATCAGGATGGACCTTTGCCCTTGTCTATCTTCTGTCTGCCGGTCCCTGCTGCGATTACGGAGATGGTTGCTAGTGTCATCATTGCTAGTTACTGCTAGTCATCTATCATTAGTATGATTACCATTTAGTGACAGTGTTGCAGCTGTTGCTCGCGCCAAGCTGTCCATTTTCCTGGGCCGCCGCGCCGGTCGTGCTCCCGGAAGACCGGCAACAAGCGCTGCTCCAAGGCCGCGACCTGCACGCAAGAACGATGCACTGACATGAAAGGATGATGTGAGATGATGTGTGTATGTGCTTGTACAAAAAAAAGCTCTCTGTAAAGCCCTCCATCTCAGAATGGCCTTTCGCACGAAGAACACTTCTTTTAACGATGTTAAGAGGATGTTGGGCCGAAGTGCTGCAAAAACCAGTGTCAGGCGAGTGTAAGTCTCTTATATGTTGGAGACATGATAACATCAAAGAAACATCACCGCAGTATAGCAGCAGCAGTAGCAGTAATTAGCAGTAATTTCCTTGACTGTCTTAAAAACATCCTAACACTAAGAGTAATTTTCCCTGGGTCTGGGTGGTGGCTTTGAGTCTTTCCATTGCTCAATGCTTTATTCGCAGCCCTTGCGTTGGCAAGCCGCAGACGCTGCATTCCTACGTTTTTGTGGACGCTGCAGCCTGCAGTTCCTGTGGGCATCGGCTGCAGTCCTACATTCCTTTGATCCATGCTGGCTGCATGTCTCGCAACCGTCAACGTACCCTTGACTTTGAGAGGGAAAGGAACTCAACTCACACGTTCCAGTACACACGCGCTCTTGTAATAACAGCACTTTCAGGTGCTGGGATAATCCCTGAACCTCAACTCTGCCAGAGCTTCGATACTGTTGTGGGCCCCCAGCCCTCTACCCTGGGCCATCCCTAGTCCGTCTCCTCTTGGGCCGAAGATAATCCAATATCAGGGTAGGAGTGGCTGTGGCACTGTCGTTGGCAGTAATTAGCATGGTAGCAATCGTCGTCGTCATCGTGCCGGTGCAAGTGGTTGAGTAGTGCCAGTAGTGGCAGTCGCTGGCTTTCTAGCAGCAGTGGCAGGAGCAGCAGCAGCAGCAGCGGAAACGGGGCAGGAGCCGGAGCAGTAGCAGCAGAAGTAGCAGTAACTACTATGATTCTTATTGCTATGGTTCTAGGTTATTCTTCTTCTTATTGTTAGCAGCACTAGTAGTCGTAGTAGTGGTGGTAGTAGTCGTCGTCGTCGTAGTGCTAGTGGTAGTAGTGGCGGTGGTAGTTGTAGCAGCACCAGTAGTAAGTGGGGTGGTGTTGGTGGTGGGTTGTTGTTTTTATGATGTTATACTATATTGCATTCCGGTATATCATATTAAACTATACTATACTATATCACATCATATTATTTTGTGCTATGTTAAACTGCAGCACAATGTTACACTGTAGCTGTACTATACGTGCAATATGTTTTATTGTTTATACTGTACTTACACCAATCTTAGTCACACATATACATAAAACCACATGTTTCTATGGCATGTACATCTATAGAGACGGAGAGAGTGTAAGAACACCATGGTCTGCTGCCACCCCACAATCCGTTCCAGGTACGACTGTGCGAAATCAGCACAATGCAAACTGCTAAAGACTTGGGACGTCAATGTGGATCTGAACTTCCTCTTATACATCTGTTTCGTCGGCCCCTGAATTCATCGCAAAGATGCGGAATCTGTCGCCCAGCTGGCTCCGAAGGCTGCGCAGCGACCGGGAACTCCCAGACATAAGCCTGCAGGATGCATTTCCCACCCTCTGACTGCCCACGCTGTCAGGTGATGCAAGGTGTCTTTGGAAGCTTTTGGCCACCAGACTGCTGGATTATGCCCTGCCCATGTGCGGCAACAGGATGTTCGGGGTTGCAATCCAAGCTCCGTCACAGGTACAGACGACGGTGACGCAACGCTGTAGGCGCAATTTGCCCAAGGTGACAGAACAAGAGCAGGGGCCTGATGTGTCAGCGTGCATGTTGAAGGCGAGCCAGGCAACAATGCTTTGGCTGCTGACATCTTCGTCCTGTCAGGAGAGCCAACCTATCTTCGCAAGCGACCTGGCTCCGCGTCATGTTATAAAAGAACCTCGGTGCACAGGTGTGCCGCATAGCAAGTCCTCCTTGAGCAGAGCATCAGACAGTTCTCGACGAGAGGCACGACGTGCTAAACCCCGCCAACGTCCAGAAGAACTGAAGGCCAGCTGGCCTTGCAAGACCTGATCTTTCAAAACTCTGGACCCAGAAAGGAGTTACCCGTGAGGCTCTTGTTGGCCAAACAAATGCCATGACTTCTCAGTCTGCGCAGCTCCCCCGACTTAGCCGAATTCTTCAAACTTACGACCTAGCCACCTGCCTTAGCTAAACTACGCATACTTCCTGCATCTCAGAGCAGAAGCAGTCCCCACCCCATGCAGGAACATTGAAAACGGGCCTCTGTCGTGTAGACCCAGCCTGCCGGAACAGCGACAGCTATGTACTCGGGCTACCACATGGCAAGCCAAGGCAAGGCCTGTAGATCCCAATCAACCATTGTCTGCTTTGAGCCTACAGCGGTGTCAGCATGTCAGAATGAGGGATTGAGAGTTCGCTTCGGCCCCCCTGCTGGGCCTGCGGGACAGACCAAGCAGATAAGTCACCAAAGCATTACGCCAGGGAATACCGACCACCCAGGCCTGCCTAGGCTCGGCTGCAACTCTAGAAGAGGTTCGTGCAGCCGCCAAGAGCCTGCTGGCTTGCCACATGTTACTTTCATGTTGCATGTTTGGGATTTAGGGTAGTGCAAGCTTAAGGGGTCTTCACTTAAGCAGTTTCTGGTCGTTTTGCTCAGCTGCATGGGGAAAGGCTCAACATCTAAAGGCGACAGCCGGCAATGCTTGAAGCTGATGCATGTGCGGGTATAGTGGGAACTGGAAAGACAGAATGCAAAGAAGGGAAGACTAAGTATTGACAGTTCAACGTACCAGCGATGCCCGTGCAGAAACTTTGTGACATGTAGCAATGCAACAAGAACTTCACATCAGTCTCTTGAGATGCAGGTGAAATCCGGTCATGAAGCAACAACATCACACTTGCGGTTTCAGTGCTCGAGTGACCAGCATGGCTGATGCAAGCTTTGGCCCACCTCAGACTACTCCTTGAGGCTACACCACAAACTGAGGGAATCTAGCGGCTAGGAAGTCGCTCGCTCCAAGATACCGCCGTTCAACAACTTCTTGGAACCTTAGAACGGAGCCTGGCTCTGCGATTGGACCCACAGCATGCGCAAGCTGCGAAGTCGGCTGCCGCCGTATTCCTCAAGGTAATTGTGCAACTGCTAAACTCATCTAAGCATCTTATCTGAAAAAAGGTGTGTGTATGTGTATTATATATATATATACACATTCTGTCATGTGTTATATAGATATATCACTGTATACACACACACATCTGTGTATATATATATATATGTATATATATACAGGTATGTATACATATCTGTATATATATATATATATATACAGTATTTATTTCTTTATAAATACACATGTAATTGAAATCTATTATCGTAACTATGTCATTCATGACCCAGTCTCCCAGCCCATTGAAGCCCTCTGTGCCTGCCAGTGCAAGGAGCCGACCACGAGCCCCTGCCGCACGCCGCCCCAGCGACGTCTCTGCAGCGGCCGTCAGCTGCCCTCGCCTTGCAGGAACCCAGAGAACCCAATACACCTTGATTAAGGAATGTACCTTAAGTTATATGGGCCTTAATATGATGATTTAAGGTATATTCCTTATATAATTAAGGGCTATTGGGTTCCCTCTGGGAATCCCAGACACCCTGGTGGCAAAGGGGCATGCGGCTGGGATCCAGGATAGATACGCTCCATTCTCCGTCCACCTTCCAAAAAGTTGAAATGAGGAAGGTTATGCGATACCAGTAACACAATCAGGGATCCTGGCATTGCCACTCCGCCAGGGATACCCGTTAGGATGAACAAATCGATCACAGGCCCCGTGCAAAACACTGTGGGTGCACGCGTGCCGCACAAGCAGATCTCCGCCCTGATGGAAATGGCGCCAAGCAGCTCCAACAGCTCGTCCACGCAGCCAAAGGCCTGCTGAGTCCGTTTGAATGCTGATGAGAATCTAGCACAGGTCGACAAGTCTGCATGTCAGAAGCCAAAGTCCGCATGGCTCGCGAAACCCACCTGGTCCAGTTCTGCCGCCCCAGGCCCGGCTGCCCTTTGCAGCCGCTTCCCCAGCTCGGCACATAGCGCCACGCCAGCTGCCGTACCCTCGCAGGCCTGCTGGAAAAATCGCAGTCTACCGTTGCAGACAGCACATGACATTTCGCATGTAAGCTGCATATGTGTACGTAATGGGGTCGCAGGGCACCGTTCAAGCAACTTTCACATTGTCGAGACAGTGCCCGCATGGCACGTTGAACAGGGATGAACGAAGTCACCGGTCACAATCAGTGCCTCGATCTGTCCAGGTGCCTAACGTCCAGTTCCTGCAAGTGATGACGGGAAGCCTGGATAGCAAAGACGCAGCTGGCAAGGTGATGGTCGTTAGGCTCCTGAGACAAGAAATCCATGGTGAGCTGTTCATTCCCTCTGTAGTGGCAGAGACTCAAAGTTCCAACATCCCAGCCACCCACACAGTGGCCCACACATCCATCTGGATATCTAGTTGGACGGAAGAAGGTTTCAAAACCTGACGTGGATGCGGCGGCCCAGACTTGAACCCCTTCGGTCAACCATGCTGAACCAGTCTTGATAGCAAGAAAGCCTTGTCACTTGATCACACTTTCTTGACACACTCTCTTCGTCGTGGCTGAAATATGGCACCATCGATCGGCTTGATTGCCAAACCCTTTCCAGCACGGATCCTACAAATTGTCTGATCCTTCGCCATTCGTTACACTGACTGGCCCAAAACCCAAGGAGA